TTTAGTAATGAATTCACAGCAGAGGAGGAAGATGTAACACACAGCCTTAAAATTACAGGTTCTATACAAATTATCCCACTCAGGTTACGTTTTTGCATGAGTGCCTTTGAAGCTACGAATCATGGTCCAAAATGCAGGGAGGCAATTCCGCCTGTTATTTACTAAGGTCCTCCCACACACAAAAGCACACCCCCAAGTAAAGAGCAACTTCCAACACACCTTCATTTTTCAGAGAAGGGGAAGGCTAAGTGATTTTAGCCGTCCTTCCAATCTTCATCAGTTTAACTGCCTCTAATCTGCCAAGGATACACCCTTCACCCCAATTTTACAAGGCCATGACCCAGCTAACACCCCCCCACTGTTAGATGACCACCACCGCCCGCTCGCCACATCCCGTCTCACGTTCATTCAAAGGCACAAGTAACATAAACGTGCATACCCATCCTTCTTCTCCGGCTTCGGGGCCGCACTGGGACATCTTTTTCCATTCTTGGTCGATATGTAACTGCACTGTTTAAAGGGTGCATTCTTGTCTTCCAGGATATGCTTAATGCAAAATTCCAGCCCCTCCAGTCGAGGCTGCGAACACGGACGATGAGTGAAGGAACAGGACAGGGGCTCCTGGGACCTGGGGACCGGGGTGATCCTCCCCCGACTGGTTGGCAAGACGTGAATCCGAATCCTGTTCATACCAGAACCTGTGGCGTCACACAGAAGATCAAAAAGCCTTCACCGTTTCCGCACACGCCAGGCGGCCGGCGTCCCGAGGCCTCGCCGGCTGCACGCGCTCGCCTCCCGCCGCCCTTCCCGGGGCCCCTCGCTCCACGGCCGCAGGTCGCGCCGCCTGTCCGGGCCCGGCACGCGGCCAGAGCCGCAGGTTCGAGGCCGCCCCGCCTCCCGGGCGCCGCCTTTGTCCGGCGCCGCCTCGCAGCCCGCCCCGCCCGGCGCGCCCGCCATTTTGTCCTCGGAGGTTGGGCACCCGAGGGCCAGGCTCCTGGGGGGCCGCGGGCCGGAGAGGGGCTCCAGACGCCGGTTCAGAGGCGGCCGCACGTCTGCGCCCAGTGAAGGGGCGACGCGGCAGCCCGGACGCAAGGGCCGAGGCCGGGGAGCGCCGCCATCTTACCTCCTCAGCCGCGCTCTCCGCGCACCTCGCTCTCCTCGGGCCGCTCCTAACTCGGCCCGGCGGCTTCCCAAGCTGCTCCCCACCGATTGGCTGCCATTCCGCGGGAGCGGGCACTCCATTGGCTGGGGCTCGGGACCGGAGGGGCGGGGCGCTGCCGAGATGCGCGGCGTGAGTGGCTGGAAGAACTGTCCGTCAGAGCCTGAGCCGGCGGCGGGCGGACGGCCTGGCTTGCTGCCTGGCGGCGTGGGCTTCCCGCTCCTGTGCGCGGCGCAGGTGCTGCTGCCTAACAGCACTTACACGCACGTGTGATGGAACATCACCACTTAAAAAAAAAGGAACATCACCACTTGTGACTTATTCACATATGGAATAGCTGTATCCTTCTTGAGCAGTTCCATACTTTTTTTTTTCTACGTGTTTTTGGTCTACATGATGAACCTAATGATTTTCATATATAGTTTTTCTTTATTGCGAAAGTCAGATACGGAGAGGAAGATCTTCCGGCCGATGTTTCACTCCCCAAGCGGCCGCAATGGCCGGTGCTGCTCTGATCCGAAGCCAGGAACCAGGAGCATCTTCCGGGTATCCCACACGGGTGCAGGGTCCCTAGGCCTTGGGTCGTCCTTGACTGCTTTCCTAGGCCACAAGCAGGGAGCTGGCCGGGAAGCAAGGCCGCCGGGATTAGAACCAGCACCCATATGTGTTTCCGTGCAATCAATAAGAGGACTTTAGCCGCTAGGCTACTGCGCCAGGCCCCCATGTCCTACCTTTGATGGAACCTGCTACTAACTTAACGTACCCGAGGGGCAGCAGATGATTCCTGAGGCGCCCAAGTCCCTGCCACTTAGAAAGCCTAGATGGGACCTGGCTTGATAGCCTAGCGGTTAAAGTCCTCTCCTTGAACGTGCCAGGATCCCAGATTGGCACCAGTTTGTGTCCCAGCTGCTCCACTTCCGACCAGCACCCTGCTTGTGGCTGGGAAAGCAGTCAAGGACGGCCCGGGGCCTTGGGACCCTGCACCCTTGTGGAAGACCCAGAAGCAGCAACTCGTTTCATATTGCAACCACTTGGGGAGTGAACCAGCAAGACAAAAAATCTGTCTCCCCTTCTCTCTTTAAACCTGACTCCAATAAAAATATATAAATCTTTAGAAAAATTTAAAAAGGAAACCTAGATCGGATTTCTGTTGGCAGCATTTGGGGGATGAAACTGAGTCTGGAAAACCTGAGTCCCTCTGTCCGTTGCCTTTTGAATAAATGTTTAAAGCAGCTGGCAACCATGGCCGTATCACGCTGTATCTCCACCTGCAGTGCCACCATCACAGATGGGTGCTGCTGTAAGTCCCAAGCTGCTCCAGCTGAAGACAGCCCAAGGAGATGGGCCTGTGCACCACGTGAGAGACCTGGAAGAAGCTCCTGGCTCCTGGTTTCCAGACAGGCCTAGCTCCAAGCCATTGTTGCCATTTGGGGAAGAGTACCAGCAGATGGAAAATCTCTCTTCTCTCCTAGAAATACATTTTGAAAACTGTAACCAAATGCAGGAACCAAAAAGGAATATTAAAACTACAGCGAGTAGTGTGAACGCACATGGGATGAGAGTGCAACAAAGACTTAGCGTCTGGGCCCGGCGCGGTGGTGCAGTGGTTAAGGTCCTCACCTTGCACGCCCCAGGATCCCATATGGGCGCTGGTTCTAATCCTGGCAGCCCCACTTCCCATCCAGCTCCCTGCTTGTGGCCTGGGAAAGCAGTCGAAGACGGCCCAAAGCTTTGGGACCCTGCACCCGCATGGGAAACCTGGAAGAGGCTCCTGGCTTCGCATTGGCTCAGCTCTGGCCGTTGCGGCCGCCTGGATCTTCCTCTCTGTCTCTCCTCTCTGTATATCCGCCTTTCTAATAAAAATCTAAAAAATAAAATCTTAAAAAAAAAAAGACTTAGTGTCTATGAAATCTAAGCACTAACATAAGGGATCCCAAGGAACAGCTGAATTTCAGCACCAAGCCTCTATGTCTAATTGTGCAATTCTTAATGTCTGGGAAACAGGAATGTAGGCATTAATGTCAAATGAAATCCAGGTCTATATCAAGAATTTAATAAACCTGTAACTGCAACATAGATGGACTCAAATTTTTGTAAGATTTATTTTATTGGAAAGATTTATGGATAGAAAAATCTTCCCTTTGCTGGTTCACTTCCCAAATGGCCACCAACGGCCAGAGCTGAGCCAATCCAAAGTCAGGGGCTTCTTCTGGGGTCTCCTACGTGGGTGCAGGTCCCAAGGCTTTGAGATGTCCTCCACTGCAAGCAGGGAGCTGGAAGGGAAGTGGATCAGCTGGGATACAAACTGCCATCCTTATGGGATCCCAGTGTGCACAAGACGCAAGCACTGCACCAGGCTCTTAAAACTTTTCCTGAAAGATTACTTCTCTGAAAGGCAGTTACAGAGGAAAGACATCTTCCACATCTGGTTCATTTCTCATGGCCACCACGGCCAGGGCTGAGCAAGGCAAGTCAGGAGCCAGGAGCTTCTGTTTAAGTGTGCAAAGTGAGATTTACTAAGGATTTTTTTTTTTTCCCCACAGAAACTTTCTAATGCCGCAGGAACAGGGTTTTCAAGACAGGTCCCTCCAGGAGCTTTTCTTCAAGGTCTCCTGTGTGGGTGGCAGAAAGCCACAGACCTGGGCCACTTGCTCTGCTTTCCCTGGCACACTAGCAAGGAGCTGAAACAAATGGAAACTGAAGATCTGGAACTTGAAGCAGAGCCTGGGCCTAACACACTACATGCTAGTCATGGATTCAAAATTTTAAAAGCAGACTTCTAGCTTACATGTTCCCCGAAGTGGACAAACCACAATAGAACGAGCAAACTTTTATTTTTTTTTTTAAAGATTTATTTTTATTATTTTTTCATTGGAAAGGCGGATATACAGAGAGGAGAGACAGAGAGGAAGATCTTCCGTCCGATGATTCACTCCCTAAGTGAGCGCAACGGGCCGATACTATGCCGATCCGAAGCCAGGAGCCTCTTCCAGGTCTCCCACACGGGTGCAGGTTCCCAAAGCTCTGGGCTGTCCTCGACTGCTTTCCCAGGCCACAAGCAGGGAGCTGGAAGGGAAGCGGGGCTGCCGGGATTAGAACCGGCGCCCATATGGGATCCCGGGGGTGCAAGGCGAGGACCTTTAACCACTTGCGCCACCGCGCCGGGCCCAGAACGAGCAAACTTTTAGAAAGTGACTTCTTCCTTTTAAACCTGCTGAACTTCAGTTCAGTCTTTGCAGTACTTTCTCGTTAGCATCCCTACTCTTCCAAGACTCGCCTTGGTCTTTCATTCTTTTTCTGCTTCTGAATGAAGAAGATAGGCATGCACCATCATTTCCAGGTGCCATCAAGAACCTTTTTCCCCAAGTTATTTTCTTCTGAATCTGTTACTGTATCTACCATTCTTTGTCAATGCTTGCAAGGTAAGCACAGTGGGAGCTATCATGACTTTCATCCAAAGTCCTCACCTTGAACTCACCAGGATGCCATGTGGGCACTAGTTCTAATCCCGGGATCCCCACTTCCCATCCAGCTCCCTGCTTGTGGCCTGGGAAAGCAGTCAAGGACGGCCCAAAGCCTTGGGACCCTGCACCCGTGTGGGAGACCCAGAAGAAGCTTCTGGTCAGATCAGCTCAGCTCTGGCCATTGTGGCCACTTGGGGAGTGAATCATCAGAGGAAGATTTTCCTCTCTGTCTCTCCTCCTTTCTATATATCCGCCTTTGCAATAAAAAATAAACGAATCTTAAAAAAAAAAAATAAAAAGAACCTAATAATATCAAAGTGGAAGAAAACTGGCGATTAAAGACTGAGGACTGACTTAAAGACACAGTACATACAAAATGAGTTTTTAGCATTAATATTTATTGATGGGATGGATAAATACAGATTGAGAAACATACTTGACAGCAAGATATCAAACTGATAGCCAGACTATAAAATGTATACAATATCCTTTTAAAAAATGTTTTTATTTATTTTTTATAAAGAGCCCTTACTAGTCCCATGGTCACTTACATCCTATCACTCACTGAACAGGCGGCAGAAATCCCAGGATGGCACCCAGCACTGAGGTGCCCCAGGACAGAGGCAACAGCAGGTAATACAGAGAAAGGACTCTACAGAGCTATAAAAACAAAACAAAAAAAATCTCACAAAATTGTACCTGAGTGACATAGATTGCTAAAATGTTTTAACTTTTTGTTGTTTTTTTTTTTTTTTCCTTTTTGCTCTTTGGTCTGATTAGAAAATGGACAGTTTCAGGAATACAAAATAGGATTAGGGAAAAGATCAGTTTCAAGGTCAGAAACCTAGCTTGACACTAAGGCTGCTGCATTCTTTTCTTTGGATGCTTCAGCCAGCTAGCACTTCTACTTTGTAACCAATTATGATCAACAACTAATCAGTTAAATTAGTCGGTTCAGAACTGAAGAGTTCTTGATGGAGACATACTTGCTCTGGCTTCAATTAGCATGCTGCCAAGCATCCCTCTCCACGCTTACCATGGCCACACAGAATCCCAGCCTTTCTCTTCTCTCCATCCGACCATGAACACATGCTGATGAAGGGAAGAGCAGACTTCGCTTTTTTAGACAACATGTTTTCTTTCCCTCCTTTCTGCAATTCCAGGTTCATACTTAGAAACTTAGACACTGAAATGGAGCTCTCCCACTTAAAAAATAATTATTTACAGATTACTCCATTGGGTAGGATTACAGTACTGTGATGCTTTCAAACTCACATTCACCAAGAGATAAGTTGGTAAACTAAAACTTGACTGTGGGGCAACACGAACACTTCCCAAACCATCAGACAGCAACACTCAGCTAGAAGCTGGGCGCCAGCAAACAGCCCAAGAAAGCTGGGGGCCCAGCAATGTCACTGAAGTCAGCGCTTAGTGGGACTACAGGGATTTTTGTCACCATCTGATGGCTTGAACAGACCAAATTGTCCCAAGCCCAAGAGGACACTTCTACTCAAACTTCTGAATGCCCCAGATTCTCCACTTTCCTAGTACTGATATCAGATTAACAGAAGAAAATGTAAAAGAAAAAAAAAATCAATTTCCAAAGTAAATATAGAGACATTTGTAGTCCAACCATACTAGGATACGGTCCCTCCAACTGCCTTTGTCCACAAGAAAGATCTGAGAGGAACCCATTTCCAATAATGAGGAATTATGTAGCAGAGGTTTAAAGAAACCCAGCAATGTTACCATGATTTTATTTCTATAATTTAACCTAATGTTTTGCAACTGGAAATTGAAATTTTTTTTCCATCAACACTGGTGAAGCCAATAATACAGGACTCTATAGGATACACTAAGTCTAAACAAACATTTAAGATGATCTTTGACACACAAAAAAAGGAAGGATCTCAAATATAGAAACACAGTGATTTACAAGGTGCAACACTAGACTACCACCTAGGAATTTTCCAAACCCAAAAAGCGCAACTGATTACTTCAGAAGATGAAATTGGCTTTTGGTTCATGCTTCACTAGAGTCCAGCCTACAACAACATAGATATCTGATTAAAAACCACTAAGGACACTCCACAGGTTTTTGTTTTTTTGTCAACAGGAGAGTCAAGTGAAGTATTAGGAATATCTCAAGATTTACAGAACTTGAGCTGTAGACCCGCTTGTCATCACTTAACACACTCAAGGATGAAACAGAAAACCATGTTTAGTAGACTATTTTTGGCTAAATAAATCCCAATGCTCACCTTTTAAAGGTGAGAGGGCAGGGAAGACACAAAGCTTAGAAACCACACAACCCCCTAGAAATCTTAAGTTAATGGAATGTGGATGATATGCTGACACACATATCTGCTCACCTGAAGACAATGCAGTAGCTTCAGAGAGCCCATGAGGAGTTTCAATCTAGAGGCAGACACCATTGGTTATGTTAACACAGTACCAGTGGGCATGAGCGCACAGGGGTCTCAAACTGACCTATTTCAGCAATGATGTACTACACAAAGACCAGACTACAAAGCAGCAGGCCCTCGATAAGCACTACAGCACCGCCGATGAATACCGCTCCAGAGACCAGGTGGATGAATATGTGCTTCTGTGGCGAGGGAGTGCATGTCATTACAAAATGCGATGAAAACCCTGGAAAACACTTACCACAACCAAATCAGTGGCTATCAATTCCACGAGGATACAGATGTAAACTAAATAGCATATTCCCTTTTGCGAAGTCAGGAAGGAAGCTGCCATTCTACAAAGAAAAGCTAACTAGAAGCCTAAACTTAGTAAACATAATCACGCATTTACCAAATTATCTGACACAACACAGGAAATATTGAAAAAGAGGAAACTATCATCTATTAAAATAAAGTGACATTCCAAGTCAAGTATTACTGGCTTATAGGTCAGCAGAGAACTTATTTTACAAAGCAATGGCAGGCAAGTGAAGAGCTGCAGAACGCTAACTCACCCTCAGTTAAGTTTACACCTTCCTACACATTCCTTCCCGTAGTAGGCCAGTATATTATCAATTGGAATTACATTGGTTTTTTTTTGGCCCAACCTGATCCTGGCAAGCAGGAGTTCATACACAATTCCCATCCTGTAAATTTGAAAATAAATCAACTTCCCCCTAAACAATATTTGGTGCATAGGAAGCTGTATTTAAAATGACAAATTCAAACTATACCACCAAAAAAAAAATCTTACGAAGACCAACATGTGTCTTATCAAATTATCTGTGGCTGGGTGGCATTTTCAGTTAAACAGCTTGGTTTAGAAAGTCTTTCTAACCAAATTTCTTTTGATTAAGGAAAAAAAAATGTTCACTCCTAGTATCTGGAATAATAATGAAGTCCTCATAACAGCGGGACTCCTGAGCTGTTTGGTTTACAAAAAAAAAAAAAAAAGAAATTAAAAAAAAAAAACTTATCAGATCTTTAAAAATCTGCCTAAAATCAGACAATCTACGCCTAACAGGTTTGCTGACTTTCACAAGCTCCGATCTCTAAAACCAATGAAGCTGTAGAACTTGAGGATGAAGCTGTTTTCCTTTCAGATACATAAATCAAACAAGCAAGCCTTAGATTCATAATGCAAAATACAATGCTCTAAAAATTCTAAATCACAATTTCATTGTTTATAGTATCCTCTGGCTCCATGGCTTCACCCAGAGCTATTCTCCTACGGCCTGGGCTTTCACATGCAGGATAAATACAGCATACTTGCCTTCTTTTCAGAGAACCTGAGACTGTTCTCATTTGAACATTTTCTCAAAGTCCCAATTGGAAAAAAAAAAGACACCCCCACTTCTGTAGGGTAGAGGCTGGCCCTGCACTCTAACTTTCCTCAACCCCACTTCTGTTCTGTATCAAAATGAAAAATGGGGTGAAAATGAAGTTTTTACTACAGTCAAGCTACCAGCTTCACTTACCCAAATCAGCAATTATAAAGAAAGGAGGAAATACCGTGTCAGATACACGTCTCTCCTTTCCTTTGTGATCCCAAGGCCAACCCTATTCTCTCTAGTAGACTGCTGGGAAGTGAAAATGCTTAGGGACACGGAGGGAAAGATAAAACATGATCTTTACACACACAGTAAAAACACACATACTCAACACTTACATACATACTTAAAGGGTCCAACACTTCGAGTGGCTTGAGCCCGTTTCAGAACTCTTAGCCAAAAGCCTCCCCTCCCACCCACCCTAAACACATCCCCACCCTCCAATCCCACCCACCAGGAGTTACTGCTATGCATCTTTCTTACACACAGCAAAAATCTCAATCCCCTCCCCAATTATATAAAAAAAAAACTAAAGATAACTTACTTTCTTTAAATTATTTTTTAAAGTCTTTTAAATGATTTTGATGTTTAAATACTTCCCCTCTTCCAACACATTAAACATCAAAAGGATCCACAGTTGTTTGATAAAACAAACCTTCAACGTTTCAGTACTGACAAGAGGGAAGATACTAACTCCAATCAACCTAATCAGGAAGTGGAGAGGCCAACAAAGTGTTCTGAATCCTTCACAGTTTTACCAAGTGACCACCTCTCTCATAACAGCAAAAACTATCATAAAATAGTTACAATGTATGAGGCAGCACATACACCAACCAAGGCCAACCATCACCCTCCCACCTACTACGCCACATCAGTTGCATTCCCTAATCAAAGAAGGGTGATATATTTCATAAGGGAAGTAATTATCTTAGTCCGGAATCAGTAGTCAAGAAAAAAAGCATTTTTTCAAACAAGTTTTTCCTCCTCTTGTTTTTCTTCTTTACTTAGGAAGCGGTGGCAGTGGTGGAGGAGGTTCTGATGGTAGAGGTGGTGGCCGGGCTTTGTCTGTATTGCCAGCTCTGGAGGAGATCCCAGCAGACCGCGGATTCAGATATTCACCGTAAGAATGAACAAAATCAAACGGGGGCTGAGCAGGCTGAACACCCTGGGCACTGAGCAGGGAGTTGAGCATATTCACAGTATCTTGATAGTCTATTGTCTGAGTTGTGTTGTGACCATTGGCTCCAGCAGCGCCTTTATCCAGTTTCATATGAGAAACTCGAGTTTTACAGCTGGGCTGTGAGAAGGAAAGGCCACTTGTGTCTGAGCTATGCCCAGGCAGCTGAGCCATCGTCGGAAGAGGTGGGAAGGGGAAATTGATGGAAGAAGATTTAGTACTCTTGGCAACCTTTGCTGGATGATCAAACATGGCCCCAGTCTCTTCAGAAGGGCCTCTTTTACGACTCGAACTGGAAGAAGAGAAAGAACTAGACAAGCCGTAGGTTTTATGGGGTAAGGTGCTTGACTGGCTACTACTATGCTTTGGCTCAGCTGGCCGTTTGCTGCCAGCACTGGCCGGAGGCTGTGAGTGGGAGTGCTTGTGCGAGTGGTGATTGTGGTGGTGGTGATGATTGGCTGGGGGGATCCTGTGTTTTTCTTTGTGCTCTCGGCTTTTGGAGATGCTGTCCTCTACAGCAATGTGCTTATCACCTGCAGAGTGGACTTTAATGCGCATTTTAATCTCTTCTGGTTTGGCAGAGGCAGTTTTACCTCCACTTGCCACTGGTAGTCTCAATTTGAGAGCTGTTTTGTCAGCTTTTTCAAGAAAAGACCTATCAGAATTTTCCAAGACTTCCATGGGCATTTTCAGAATACCTGAAGAATGACTATCATGGTGAGACAGGAGATTCTGGGCAGCATACGCATACTGTGACTTCACGTTGGCCTCCATGTTCTCTAGTTGCCTCTTCTGGGCTGCCAACTCCTCTGCATGCTTGGCTCGGTATTCCTTCAGCGACACTTTCGCTGACGGCGCACTCTTACTACTCTGTTTCTGAGCAATGAATGTACTTGAACTGTCCTGCTGTAAGGAATGATCAGCTCCTATAAGTGCTATATTTTCACTAGTCCGGTGACCCTGAGAAGATTCGAGTTTAAAAGAAGGCTGAGAGGACAGCCAACGCTCGCCTTGCAGCACTTCCGCACTGGTTAACTTGTTAGACGACTCTTCGGACACTGGACGGGAAGGCACGGCACTTGCGGTAGAAGTTGACATACTCATTAAACCTGCAATAGTTGTATCTGAAGAGCTCTGGGAAATCATATTGAGAATTGTCTGCTCCGAAGTGTTTCCATCTGCTCCTCGGTCATCTGCTTTAGTTTTTTTGGCAGCCAGGCATGCCTACAATGAAGCAAGCAACATCTTTTTACTCCAGGTCAGTTAATCACCCTAACGTGAAGTCCAGTAAACATTAAATATTTAAAATCTTCAATCAAGAGTCATAGTAATCTATACCAATGTTACAAAGCAACAACAACCACAATAAAGAATTTCTGGGGCAGGTATCTGCCACCTGGGAAAGCAGCAGGCCATGCCACAGCAGCTGGGCCCCTGTGACCCATGTGAGACTAAGGCGGAGCTGCACGCTTCTGGACTCAACCTGACCTGCCCTGACTCCATTCCGGGAGCTGATGGAAGCTGCAAGTATGTGGTAGGAGGCGGAGAGGCGAGAAGGACTACTAAGCCTTTCAAATAAATAAAACTTAAAAAACTAAGTAAAAGACAGCAGTGGGAATGAGTGCATCCCATAGGATGCCCGAGTTCAACTCTCAGGTCCGGTTTCTTGCTAATATACATGTTGGGAGACAGCAGCTAATGGCTCAAGTGCATGAGTTTGTGTCCCTCAGCCTGACTGTCTCAGGTTGTGAGGGATCTGGTAAGTGAACCAACAGATGGAAACTCTTACCCTCTCTCTTTTAAATGAATATAAATAATAAAAGCTTTAAGTACTTTTAAAAGGGGGGAAAAGCTGATCATATTATCTAGACATCAGTCACAAGCATCTATGACCTCTTGTAACGGTATCTGATCCATCAACACATTCTAGAAATTTTCATGAGAGTGTAGGTAAAAGATAACTACAAGCTCAAGCATGTTTCTAAGAAAACTCGTGTTCTGTAACTCACTCAACTGAGAATTAAAGTAGGTTTGCAAGCCTAGATATGAGAAATAAAGACAATACTTTTTTTTGTTCATTCACTTATTTGGTAAGCAGAAAGAGGGAACGGATGGCAAGTGATCTTCCACCCACTGCTTCACTTCCCAAATGCCCTAAGCAGTTGAGACGAGATGCAGCTGTGCCAGGAACGCAATCAACACAGAAACAGAAAGTTGGAGCCAGAATCCACGTTGACACAGAGGCAAGGCATTACCCCGAGGCTGTACGCCTGCTCCTTCCCGTTACTTTGCCTTTCAAATAAATATCTTTAAAATCAATAGAGTTGTATATCAAAGTCATATTTGTGAATGAAATCATTCCTTTTATTTCTCCTCTGTTAAGTAGATTTATACACACACACATATTTTTAAAATTTACTTAAATTTTCATGGAAAAGGCAGATTTATAGAGAGAAGGACAAAGAACTTCCAATAAGTTGGTTCATTCCCTAAATTGCCACTGCAGCCAGAACTGACCTGATCTGAAGCCAGAAGCCTGGAACTTCTTCCAGATCTCCCACATGGGTGCAAAGACCCAAAGCTTTTAGCCATCCTCCAGTGCTTGCCCAAGCCACAGCAGGGAATGGGATGGGAAGCAGAGCAGCTGGGACACAAACCAACACCCATATAGGAACCTGACGCTGGCAAATGAAGGATTACCAATTGAGCCATCATGCCATGACCCTGGGAAGCAGCAGTGATAGCGCAAGCTACTGGATTTCTGCCCCACACATGGGAAACCTAGTTCCTAACTTCTGGCTTTAAAGTTGTCTTTCTGCCTTTCCAGATGTATAAAAACAAAAATTAAAAAAAAATTCTAAAATCACCTTAAATACAGGTAAATTATGATACCAGCTTTAAGATTTTTATTTATTGATTTACTGATTAAAGACTTACTTATTTTCACTGGAAAATCAGATTACACAGAAGGAGAGAGAGAAAGATCTTCTGTCTGCTGGTTCATTCCCCAAATGGCCATAAAAGTCGGAATGAGCCAATAAAAAGTCAGGAGCCAGAAGCTTCTTCCAGGTCTCCCACGTGGATGCAGGGTCCCAAGGTTTGGGCCATCCTCCACTGCTTTCCCAGGCCACAAGCTGGGAACTGGATGGGAACTGGAGCAGCCAGGAATCAAACCAGAGCCCATATAGCATCCCAGTACTTGCAAGGCAAGGATTTGGCCATTGAGCCATCATGTCAGGTCCTAAGTTTGAGTCTACCAGAAGCCAATAAATACTCCTCAGAGGAGCCATGTTTTTTTCCAACAGTCTCCACACAGAAAATAAACACCAAATGCCCAAATAGCAGGAGTAACATAATGCAAAGCAAACTGCTCTCACCAATAGCCACAGATTCCCGGGCAATATTCAGGCTAGGAAGCTGAGTCATGATCATTACATAACCATAAAAGGAAAAATTCCAAACCTAAGATACATATCCAACTCTACCATATTCCTTGGTACAAATAAAGAAACTGATTTTCTTCCACAAGCTGACCAGAATAATTTCTTACCCTCCAATTCCGAATGCGCTTGAGCCTGCTAGGAGTTTTCTCTAGGATCTGTAGAAACTCGTGTGTCAGTTCTATGAATGAAACATTCAAGAAAGATTCAGAGACACAGGAAACAAAACAAGAATAACCTTAACTAACTCACTATTTTCATCTAAATCTGGCCAGATATGTAACAGGCCAAAAGTAAATGTTTTTCAAGGTCCCTTGCTCTAAAACTTACCATCTAAAAGTTCCAGGGTCACAGTGGCGTCAACATACTCCCACCAGTGCTTCCCATCAGTGGAGACTGGGATCTCCCAGTTGGACCACTTGCAAGCCAGATGAATGCAGACACAGGCCACCACAGGAGGTGTGTACTGCAAGCTAAATGTGGTCAAATGCAGGCTGACATCGGAGGGAAGGAAAAAGAGAGTGTCGTGAGCTCTCATTTCTCAACCCAAAGCTAAAACTCCACTATTTAAAAATACAAAAACAAACAAACAAAAAAATCAGAAGGGCAAGACTCAACCAATTATCCAATACATTAATCTAGAACTCAATGTAATGATTAGCTAAGGATCCACTCTTCAGGTGACATTTCTGAATTTCATGACTTCACATTACTCAATCCGTCCATTGTTCAGGTACCCCCAGAAGGCTAGGTTTTTAGAAACAATTTCTGGGGGTGATTAGTTAGTCTCTGGAACACACACCCCATATCAGAGTGCCTGTTTTTGAGTCCTGGCTACACCGTTTCTTAACCAGCCTCTTGTCACTGCACACCTGATAGTGGCTCAAGGCCTGGCATCCCTGCCACCCACGGGCATCTGAAGCTTAAACTAGCAAGTGGAAAATTAATTTCCATTTCTCAAATAAAATAAAAAATATTAAAGACAAAAACATGGATTTCTAATTTCTAAGCCCCAAACCAATGTTCATTATGTGTTTTCCCTAAGAAAAAGTTTCTAACAAGGCAAGCTGTCATAAGCTTTCTGGTTTGCAGAATCCCTAAATCACAAACAGAAAGAAATGTCCTAAAAGTCCTTTCTCTCATCCTTCAGTTTCAGAACAATGACCATTCACTTATTTACATGTGCATGAATGCTGTATTTCATGTTTCTCCTGTCAGGTGATCACACTGAATTCAACAGCCCCGACAGTTAGCAGTGTCTTCAGTCAGCATAAATAATACTGGAAGTCAGAAACCACAGGAACAAGATGCTGGGTAATAAGTGTTATATGCCAATAACTTATCTAGATTCCTTAAATCCCTTAAAAGCTGATCATTTCAACCTAAATAAGTGTAGTCCCAAATAGAAGACAAAAAATAAATTTAAACCTGTTAGTTGCCATGAAGTAAGACGTCTGTGCTAAGTCCTTGCTTGCTGAAGGAAAAAAGTGGGGCGGGGGGGAGATAAAAGGAAAAATGTCAGTTCCACGCAGCGTCAACAAGCACCTGCAAGGCACGACGAGCACAGGCATGGTCCCCAGCCACCTGACACATCCCACCAAGATTTTTAATTTTAATATTAATGATCATGTTGGTCCCAGACCTAGGGGCTCCGGCTTCACTCTATATACAAGATCTCAAGGGTACAAGCATAAAAAGCAATTATTGGGTCCACACCCTAGAACTTAACTAAGTTTGGAGAAAAATGCAAACATTGTTAACTAGTAACCCAGATTCTGATCCAAGAGTTCACTGAGAAGCAGCACAAAAGTAAAGATGAACTAGGATTATCTAAACGCAAGATTAGAACTCAAAAGACCCAAATGTATTTGGGAAAAGTATCTTTTGCTAATCAAATTTACTTTTAAGTTGTTAGCTAATCCTCACGATATAAATAAATATACTACAATGGAAACAACCACAGTCCTCCTTGCCCCAAAACTGTTGTGATGATAAAGGAAACTTCTTTCCTTAAAACTTTTCACTGTTAGTATGATTCCATCTGTTTAATCCCATCCTTGTTTAATGTAAATATCTTAATACTTTCAAAGAAAGAACTTGGGAGCACAGGGTGTGCAGGTTCTCTTCACAGTACTATTTAAACTGAAGAAAGTAACTGGGTATCTTTCAATTGCACTAATACTGTTAAATTAGAATGAGAAAAGTCCTCCCAAGGGATGCTCAATGGCAGAAATTTTATAAATATTCAGATCTGAAACCAAAATAAAATCACCCACACCCAAAATTTGCTTAAAATCATTACAACAGCCGTAAGGAAATCACCTGGGAATGCCTGAGTCGCCCATTGAAGTGCCTGGGACCAAGTCCTAGCTCCACTCCTAACTGCAGCTTTCTACCGATATGCTCCATCCCTGGAGGGCAGCAAGCGATGGCTCACGTCCCTCGGTCCCTTGCCACCCTTACAGGAGACCAAGACTGCAAATTCCTTAGACTCTCGCTTTGACCTGGCCCAGCCCAATTTGTTGCATACATTTGGGAAGTGAACCAGTAAATGGAACATTTTTCTTTATGCATGTTTCCTTTTCTGCCTTTAACTAAAATGAAAGTAAATAGTAAATAAAGTTGCTATTTGGTAACTTTACAAAATATGGCTCCAGTATTTACAATAATTTAACTCTACCTGAAAATCATTTAAAACAGTAATTATCAGAACTCAATAGGAAAATTTCAAGTCAGAACTATTCAATTGGATTTAAGCCAAATAGACCTTTCAATTTTAACTTCTGGCCCAAGCTGTTGCCCATAACAGATCAGTCTCTAGATTGTAAAACAACTTCGTGAAAGGTTTAATGAAGGCAGAGTGACACAAATAGAAAGATATCCACCTGCTGGTTCACTCAACTGCTGGCAACATCTGGAGCTGAGCCAAAAGAAGCCGGGAGCCAAGGACCCCACACAGGCTTCCCACATGAGTGGCAGGGACTCATTACCTGGGTCATCACCTTGTGCCTCCCATGCACATGAGCAGATGCAGGGTCAGCAGCACAGCGCAGCATGCTAAGCTTCTGTCTATGGCACAAGCACCCATAGGAGCTGGTTTGGCTCCATTTTTGATCCAGGAAATGAGCCTGGAAAAGCAGCAGTAGCTGCTCCAAGCCCTTGGGCCACTGCACCCATGCATGTGGGAGACCCGGAAAAAGGTACTGGCTCCCAGCTTTTGACCAGTTCAGCTCTGGCATTTGCAATCATTTGGGGAGTGAACCAGAGGGCAGGATCAATCTTTCTTTTCTCTCTGTATCTCCACCTTTCAAACAAAAATTAAATCTTGAACACGCAAACAACAACAGCAAATAACCACTGGCAGAATTCAGTCACAAACATTGTAATCTCAGCTGCAGGAACCCGAAAAGGCAGTTTACACTGTGCCCCAACACCCAACCCAGCAAGACAATCGAAGACAGTCAATTCAGCTGAGGATTCCTTACCTCGGACAAGCTGAGTGCACTTGACCACATGAGTATGCGGGTGATCTATTGTAAGTTCAAAGCCTTCAACAAAAAAGTAACTGATTAAAAAAAGTTACAGATTTCAAGGCAATTTACATTTTTGCTCACTCATCACGAAAGACCTTGGTGAGCACCAAAAGGCCTTCTTGATTTCCTTCTTTCACAAGACTCAAGGCACTCTCAGACCTACTTATTACCTCCCAAGTTGATGATACAGCACAGCCAGCAAGTATAAAAGACCACCGAAAAACCAAAAACTCTTTTCTCTTTATTTTTCATATTAATCAATTTTTTTAAATAATTTTTACATAGTTGATTAGGATGATTAGGGTAAAGGGCTACAGGAAGGTGGGTGAGATCACCATTTCCATAATCTCTTTTTTCTCTTCCTATATCTGGGGAAAGGGGGAAAATAAGGAGAGAAGCCACACCCAGCTTCCAAATGACCCTGCACCTGGGTCCAGCCACTCGACACCACCCCAGGACCCCCAATGTGGGGCATGTTCCGAGGGTCCTGCTAAAGAGGTTCTGGAAGAATCAAGATGGCGGAATAGGGAAAGGACACGTTTAAACAGAGAAACATTAACCAGTATAAAGCAGAGAGGGCACATTCCAGGAAATAGGAGATGACAGAACAACAGCAGAGGGGTACCTGGAGACTGATAGACACAGGAAATCAGCAAAAACAACAGTGAGGTGTTACAGTGATGGATACTCCAGAGGCATTCAGCAAACAGCGATCTGAACTCCACCAGGAGCCAGAACTACACCAGTAATAAGATGAGAAGGGACTTTCACTGGGAGCTCAGGAGGTAAACCCAGACAAAAACTGTCCATGCTGCTGGTCTGTTTGATTTGACCAGGAGCAGACAGAGCAGCAGATCCCAACCAGCAGTGCTAGAACCAGGTGGATTTCACAGCCCAGTCTGCGCCCCCTGGAGCCGAACTGAGCACCATTTTGTTTAAGGACGTAAAGGCAAGGGAAAGGACTGAGCATATGCTGAGCTGGGAGTGAACTCATTTCTGACTCCACCAACTGCAACAACATGGCATCCTACAGGTTCCACCCAAGACAGGTCCAGGCAGCTATCAAAACTGATGGCCAGCAAATCAAGAACTCTAACAGTGGTACGTCAGGTGACATTTTGTACAGTGTGACAAAAGTTTTAGGACTGCAAAGGACAACAGCGAGCTGTGCATGTGCCAAGTCCGGGGAGAACTCACTGAACTCAGTGCATTGCACTGCTCCCACATAATACCAACCATGGCATTGTATGGGACAAAAGGGGTCCATGTAGCCCTCAGATCTAACGGCCAACAGGTTTCTGCAAGAGTACCACCAACAACAACCTAGCTATATAGGACTCCTGGTGTCTCCGTAATCCTGGGACCTGCTCCAACCGGAGGTGGGACAAAAGTTGTAAAGACAACAGTGCAGCCCCACCTGCACTCAGGTGGAGACTGGTGAGCCAGGAGCTGGGGCTACAGAGACCATGGCGGATATCTAACGTAAGAACCCAGATCTGGAACTCACTAGAGGGAGTAGCAAAACTGACTGCAAACAAAGAGCCGTGTACCAACTGCAATAATTAAAATTGAACTGTAGACCTGTGGGTGACACAGCTTAGAAACCTGCCCAAGGAGAAGATTCTGCTAGCCAGAAGTACAACGACCAAGAGCAAAAAACGAGATAAAGCCACAATGAATATTACTGCAGACTCCCCTGCAAAGGAGCAAAACCCTCTGCCAACCTCAGAGTTAGCTGAGGAAGACATTGAGAAAATGGGTGACACAGAATTCAAAACACTTGTTATAATGCCTCTTATCAACAATGAGAAGCACGTAAAGCAGGTGTTCAAGGAATTCAAGGAATATGTCACACTGGAAATGAATCAAATGAAAGAATACAGAAATTAGAAATGAAGAATACAGTGGAGCAAATTAAAAGTACAGTGGAAGGACCTCAAAATAGAATGAAGGAGGCAGAAGAAAGAATCTCAGAATTGGAAGCTATGTCCTCTCACCAGGAGAAAACAAACAAAAAGCTGGAAGCAGAGCTGAACAAGCTAAAAAACAGTATTCAAGAACTGAAAGACACTATTAAGAGGCCTAATATAAGAGGTGTAGGAGTCCCAGAAGGTGCAGAAAGAGAAACTGGGTTTAAAAATGTATTCAAGGCCAGGCAGCATAGCCTAGCGGCTCAAGTCCTCACCTTAAACATGCCAGGATCCCATATGGGCGCCGGTTCTAATCCCAGCAGCTCCACTTTCCATCCAGCTCCCTTCTTGAGGCCTGGGAAGGTAGTCAAGAATGGCCCAAGGTTTCGGGTCCCTGCACCCACGTGGGAGACCCAGAAGAGGTTCCTGGCTCCTGGCTTCAGATCAGCGCAGCACCAGCTATTGCGGTCACAGGGGAGTGAATCATCAGAAGAAAGATCTTCCTCTCTGTCTCTCCTCCTCTCTGTATGTCTGACTTTGTAACAGGAATAAATAAATCTTTTTTTGTTTGCTTTGTTTTTTAATATTTATTTTATTTTTATTGGAAAGGCGGATGTATGCTGTACGGGATGTATGTATGTATACGCACGGGATCCCGGTGCGTTCAAGGCAAGGACTCAAGCCTCTAGGCCACGCTGCCGGCCCAAATAATAAATCTTAAAAAAAAAAAAAAAAAAAAGACTACTATTTTTTTTAAAATAATGTATTCAATGAAATAAAAAGGAAAAACTTCCTGAATCTCAGGAAAGAATTCGGAAACAACATCCAGTAGGGGCACAGAACTCCCAACAGGCTTGACCAAAAGTGATCTTCACCATGACACACAATAGTCAAGCTCTCTGAAGCTTGAAGAAAAGATCCTTAAAAGTACACATGAAAAAAATCAACTGACATATAAAGGAATGCCAGTTAAACTCGCAGGAAGCCTCTCACAGGAAACTCTACAGGCAAGAAGAGAATGGAGTGACATATTCCAGATTCTAAAAGCAAAAAAACTACCGGCCCAGGATAACATACCCAGCAAAGTTCTCCTTTGTCTTTGAAAATGAAATAAAGTTCTTCCACAGTAAAGAAAAGTTAAAAGAATTTGCCTCTTCCAAATCTGCACTACGAATGATACTTAAAAATGTTCTTTTTTCATTTTTTTATTATAGTTTTGATAATGGTTACATAGTTAAAAGGTTAAAGGGCTATAGGAGAGTAGGTAAGACTATTGTTTCTGCACTGTTTCCTTCATATATCCAGGGTACAAGGAGATAATAAGTGAGAAGCCCCACCCAGACTCCCACTCACCCCAGGTCCTTGATGTGGAGCATGCTCCAGGGTCTTTTTTTTTTTTTAAAGTTTTATTTATTTTTATTACAAAGTCACCTAAGAGAGGAGGAGAGATAGAGAGGAAGATCATCCGTGCGATGATTCACTCCCCAAGTGAGCGCAACGGCTGGTGCTGCGCTGATCTGAAGCCAGGTTCCAGGAACTTTATCCAGGTCTCCCACGTGGGTGGAGGGTCCCAAGGCTTTGCGCCGTCCTCCACTGCTTTCCCAGGCCACAAGCGGGGAGCTGGATGGGAAGTGGAGCTGTGGTGATTAGAACCGGTGCCCATATGGGATCCTGGCTCGTTCAAGGTGAGGACTTTAGCCGCTAGGCCATGCCACCGGGCATGCTCAGAGAGTCTTGCTCAAATGGTTTTGATAGTTCATCAGTTCTGAACTGCTGCCAATCTCGCCACTCCAAGCACAATAAGGTCCTTGAAGAATCTTAGAGTCTCCATTTTAGAGTCTCCTTTTGCCCAGTTTTTCACTGCCAACATATGGCTGAGGTGGTTGGATTGACTTGCTCTGTCTTCTGTCTTTTCATGGTTAAGGTTCTGAGTCCGGTAGTTCGATTGGGGAGATCTCAAAAGAAACTTTGAGGTGTTTTCAGTCCAGATTCTTATATGTACTAGCAAGTACAGGGGCCGGCACAGTCCATCGCCCCGATCAGCTGGTGGTTGCAATCGCTGGTTTTGTTCTGTTTTCAGCCGTCTTCCACAGGAACCAATGGGTGTTGCAGTCCAGCTTGGTTCTGCCCAGCACGCACTTGGCCCTCACATAAACCAGTGGGAGCTGCAGCCTTGTCAGAGCGACCCACAATAACCCCCACCTGGCCCGCCCCCTACCAGTATGTTTACCAGTATGTGCAGCAGAGTAGTCCAGTCTGTCCCACATCCCCTTCGGCTCTCATACATGTCAATGGGTATTGAAGCCTAGTTCCATCTAACCAGCTCCACTATCCAGCCCTCACAAATGTCATTGGTTGCTTCTCTCTGTCTAGCCACCCCAGCCCTGTCCTAGTTTTTGTGCCCTCCAGTGGGAGTGGTAATCCAAGAGGGAGGAGCCCACTCTTTCCCTTCTAGGCCACTCCCACTCCCAGATAAAGATGTTCTCTTGACAGAGAAAAGGAATAGCACCCACCAAAACCAAAGGCAAATGTGAAGAACATCCCAGTAAAATAACAGAATCAAATTACCACCTATTTGTATTAACCTTGAATGTAAACAGCTTAAACGCATCGATCAAATGTCACAGATTCGTAGACTGGATTAAAAAACAAAACCTACCTATTTGGCGCCTACAGGAGACACATTTCACCAACAAAGATCAGTGGAAACTATATCTCATTAATTTTGGTGTTTTTTTCTTTGTTAGTTCCATCTCTTCAGAACACTTTCTTCTCATTAAATTCTTCACTGACTCATAGATCATACAGAAGCATCATTTTCTTCAAGAAGCATCTTGATTTTCTTTTACATTTCTTCAGCCACACATTAGTCATCTAGTAGCACATTATTTAACTTCATGGTGTTGTTAATTTCTTTTTTCTTCCTATTGTTGATTTTCTTTTGTGGCTTTTCATTTAGGGGATATATAGTCGCTGTGAAATGGAGACTAGTATATCTGGATGGGAGGATACAATGCAGTATGCATCTCTACTTCCAGACTAAAGATGGACTACCAATGAAACTTACATGACAACAGGATGATGGACTCTCTGCCATTGTCCATGCCCACAAAAATGAATATATATCTCTGTGTGAAGAACTTTACTTTAGTAATAATATAGGGGGACTCGGTGGGAGTGGGAAATTAGGGAGGGCACAAGGGAGATCCCAGGGGCCTATGGAACTGTATCATAAAATGATAATAATGATTAAATATTTTAAAATTTGTTTTTATTACACAGTTAGATACACAGAGAGGAGGAGAGACGGAGAGGAAGATTTTCCATCTGATGATTCACTCCCCAAGAGGCCGCAACGGCTGGAGCTGAACCAATCCAAAGCCAGGAGCCAGGAACCTCTTCCAGGTCTCCCACACGGGTACAGGGTCCCAAGGCTTTGGGCCGTCCTCCACTGCTTTCCCAAGCCACAGCAGGCAGCTGGATGGGAAGTGGAGCTGCCGGGATTAGAACCGGCACCCATATGGGATCCTGGCGCACTCAAGGCAAGGATTTTAGCTGCCAGGCTACGCCGCCGGGCCCAAGATTTAAAAATGTTTAGAAAAAGAGTTCAACAGATCTGAATTACTGCCAATCTTGTCACTCCAAGCAGAATGAAATCTCTCCAGAATCTACTGGCTGACATAGTCCACCCTGGTATTCACTGCCAATGCTTGGCTGGGCTAGTTGATGAATTTGTTCTGTCTTCTATCCGGTACCAGGTGTCCTCTGCACACTCCAATGTACTGCCATATCCTCCATGTGCACCTGGATATGCTGCCCACTGCTCCAGCTGAGCCACTAAGTAAGTTCGGCTCTGACACATGCGTACATCATGGTCAGACAACAGAGCCTGCAATTCTCTTCATGGCTAGGGTTCTGAAATCAGCAGTTAGTTGGAGGGATTGTCAAAGAAACTTCATCTGAGTTGATCCCAGATCCGATTCTTGTGTGTGCCTGCCAATACAGGGTCTGACACACTTGTTGCACACGCTGGTAGCTGCAACTGCTGGGTCAGTTCTGTCTCCAGCCCTGTCTTGTTACTAACAGCCCAACTTGATCCTACCCACAGCTTAGTAGGCCCTCACACAAACCAGTGGGAGCTGCATCCTAGCCGGAGTGATCCGCAATAACCCCACCAGGCCTGCCCCCTACCCTGGTTCCTGTGCTTGCCAGTTAAGTACAGCAGATTGGTTCAGTCTGTCCCACATCCCATTCAGCTCTCATACATGTCAACAGGCATTGAAGCGTAGTTCAACTCAACCAATCCCACTATCCCGCCCACACACAGGCCAGCAGGTGCCACTCTCTATCTAGCCATGCCTGCCCCTGTCCTAGGTCTCATGTTCACCAGTGGAAGTGGCAACCCAAGAGGGACATGCCCACTGTTTCCTTACTGGGCCCACCCCCACTCCTGGATCTTGCACTCTCTGGGTGGTTCTGAAGTTTAACTTAACAGAATGTGCCCCTGTGCCAGCATCTGCTAGCTGATGCTGCAGCAAAGCCCAACCAACCCATACCCACTCTGGCTTTCGCAAGCACCAAAAGGAACAGTCAACCCAGCCTGGCATTTCCCTAATCCAGCTCACATGAGGGCCACAGGTGTTGGCCCTGCCCAGCCTGGTCTACCACTATCCCAACTCACTCTCCTGCGGGAGTGGTGGTCCAGCAGGAAAGCACCTCACAGCCCCCTACCAACTTCACCCCTTCCCCATTTGAGCTCACATGTTGGTTGGATGCTGAGGCCCAGCCTGACATGGCCCGCCCTGGCACTTGCCAGTGGGTGCTGTAACCTGGCTGTGCCAAGCCCATTCCCAGGTTCCAACTCACTGGTATGGGGTACAGCCTAGCCCAGCCCAGCCCAGGCAGCCCCCAGTCCTGGCCCTCTTGTGAACCAGGTTGTGTTGCGACCGAACCCAGCCTAACCCACACTCCATTCTGGCGCTCTGATTCACCAGTGGGTAATATGAAGTGGGCCAGCCTGGTTCACCCCTGGCCTCCACCAAATGTATGCGGGTGGGTACCAACCCTGACTTGGTCTGGGTTGCTCCCTATTGTGGTTCTTGCGCTCACCTGTAGGGACCTGTATCCTGACAGAGGAGTTCCCCAAGCTTCTCCATCAGAACCTCTCCCAATGCCAGTTCTCTTGCCCATCGATGAGTCCTTGAGCCAGCCCTACTTAGTCCACTTCCTGTCCTACCAGGAACAGTGGCCTTTCCTGACTGGCCTTCACCCGTTCGTTTTTACTGCTGAAAACCTCCTCTTTTAGGAACAATAGAAAATAATGCAAAATTAGAATAAGATGTTCAAGAAACAACTACTTTCCAAATCTTAGTCTTGAAAAATAAATTTAAAACCTTTCTTTCTCTAAGCTCTATTTTGTTCTCATCATCTTGCAACATAGCACTCATAACAGCCAACCCCAAATGATCTTTCTCATAATAACTTAGCAAAATCAGTGTGCAAATTATCCTCCAGCTTTTCTTTTTGAACATGTAAGTAAAATTTCCCAGATAACAAGTTCTATTGCAAAATTCAGATCATGTAAATTATTCTTATTCTGTGCATTAGATGTTACTGATTTACATATTTATTCCACCAGAATATCACTACCCTCTAAAGTACCAAAGTAGTAAACTGGTAGAAATCATATTAGATAAAACATCAGAGCCACTTACCTGATCCCTACTGCTCGGGTTCATACCCTTCTACTCCACTTCTCTAAAAAAACTGGCTGTAGCATGGCAACATGTCTGATTGCATCACTTCTGTTCCAACTCCCTGCTACTGGCCTAAAAAAAGCAGCAGCAGATGACCCAAGTGTTTGGGTCTCTGCCACCCACATGGAAGATGGAGAATAAGCTCCTGGCTCCTGGGTTGAGCCTTTGCCAAGCCATCTGATAAATCAACCAGCAGATGGACAATCAAGCACTGTCTCTCTCTCCAACTTTCTAAAACTTAATACCAATTGTAGGGCCCAGCACAACAGTCTAGTGGCTAAATCCTCGCCTCGCATCCGATGGGATCCCATATGGGCACCAATTCATGTCCCAACTGCTCCACTTCCCATCCAACTCCTTGCTTGTGTCCTGGGAAAGCAGTAGAGGACAGCCCAAAGCCTTGGGTCCCTGCACCCGTGTGAAAGACTGGGAGAGAGCTCCTGGCTCCTGGCTTTGGATCAGCTCAGCTCTGGCTGTTGTGGCCACTTGAGGACTGAACCAATGACTGGAAGAGCTTTTTCTCTGTCTTTTCTTCTGTCAATCTGATTTTCCAATAAAAATAAAAAATCTTCACACGAATAAATAAATAAATAATGGAAATGGATACTAATTGTAAGAACAAATGCTTTTCTCTAAAATGCAATGACAGCCCGTAACAATCCATGGAATAAAAAATGTTCTTTAGGCAGTTCTTGATAATATGTATTTGGTTAAAAATCAGAAAACCTTAAAAGTGTATCATGAACCCTAGCAGAAGGAGAAAACACCTTCACTAATCGCTGTTGGAAAGATCAACTGTACGTACATACTGGTCTACATTCTACACAGACCAGTGTTAAACTCTTCACGCCCTACAACCTTTTAACCCCAACACAGATGGACACTCTACAGAAACCTTCTGTTTCCATTTTACAAACCCAAATATTATAGTACATACATGATATTTTAAATGTGAAGAAAAATATACATACCTAAAGTCTGCAAAATTATGCTTTCTAAAATCACCAGATCTTGAACTTGTTGCAAGTAAGCCTAAAGGTAAAAGGACAGAAAAATTATTTCCTGAAAAGGCATAATATACAAACACACACAATCAAAACAAAATAGGAACAACAACACAAAAAAAAAGGGTGGTTACAGTTAGACTAAGAACTGGCATGTATTCCGCATCACTATCCCTATTCATTATAGATTTTCCTTTAAAAAAAAAAAAGAAAGAAGATGAACTAGAACATTGAGAAATAATCATATGGTGACAGCAAAAGCAGAGATCTGGGTCATTTTCACGTTAAACACTGCCATTACTCCTGCTGCAGGCAATGGCCTAGTTTGCCTTGTACCTAGACAGTATTATACTGCTGAGAGAAAAGAAGTTAACAGCTGGCAGACATTCTGCACTTGGTTAAGCCAAATTTGTGTTAAGTATACCAATGTGCCAATATAGTTACCTATTTTATTTTTTCTACTTTTTTTTTCATTGTTAAGATCTGGGGAAAGAGAGCAGAGAATGCCCACTATGCCACCATGGTCACACACCAGCCAGGGCCACCCCATCACCATTGCTGCCACCATGAGTGCGGGGAGGAAGGGGTTGCATGCATTGTTAGGGACTGGGGGACTGGGAACAGGTCAGAATGGGGGCTAACTGAGGGCTTGTTTGATATATATTGAATGATTTTGGGGGGCTTCCATAGACCAAACCCCTTCACCCACAGGTAATCAATCACAGTAGTTGAGATGGGGTGGATCAGAAGTGGGACTCTGGAGGTACTCCCTGGGTCAGGCCAAAGCACCCATCTGCACACCCAAGAGCCAGGGCCAGGGTGGGACTAAGCTAAACTAGGCCACAACATCTGCCAGCACTCTTTTTAACAGTCAGGGCTGGACCAGGCTAGGTTGCAGAGGACAAGTTAGTAGTAGTCCTCAGTATACTTCCTGACTAGGCCACAAGCAGTCACTGGTACAATTAAGATCTGGGGCTGGGGTAGGGCTGCAGTACCTGTCAGCAAATATGAGAGCCAGGTCTGAGGGCAAGCCTGGAAAGGGGTCTCAAGGGTCTGTCTGACTAAGCTGCATCACCTGCTGATACAACAAAGTGCCAGGTCTGGATGCAGGCTGGGCAAGGCCACAGTACCTGCTAGCATGCTCAGGGTCTGGTTCTGGAGGAATAGCCTTGACCAGGCCTTAGCACCTACCATTAGTACACATGAGGCTGGGTCTGGAGGCAGCACTAGAACGGGTCCTTGGGGATCTCACCAACTAGACTGTAACAGCACCCACTGGTACAGGTGCCAGATTCAGGGGTGGGCTGGATCAGGTCACAGCACCCGCCTGGGGGCTGGATGTGCCAGGCCTGTAGGTTCACACAGACGCCAGACTGGGTTACAACACTCGCCAGCACACACATGGGCTGGATCTGGGCACAGGTCTGGTCAGGGTTCTTGGGGGTTACTCTGACCAGGCTTCAGTACCCACCAGTGCATGCAAAGGTGGTTCCTAAACGTGCCGTGCTGGGCTATAGCACTTGCAAGCACACCCAAGAGCCAGATCTGGAGACCAACTAACTCAGCAGGGACTTTTAGGAGTCAGCCAACAGATCCACCACCTCTTCTCCAACCTCAGGGAACTGCACAATGGTCATCTCAGAGCATGTTGTGGGACTGCCCCACCTCTGTTGCTGACTCCATTCTTAGAGAGGTAACACACTGGGATGCACATGAAAGACAGGACAGCTGGTTTCTCTGACTCAACAGAGGAACTTGAGTGCCTCACCAAAAGATGCAAAGAAGAGCAAGTTGAATAATGCTGAAGGCCAAATCCTCCACCAAGCATCTAAGACTACGGACATACCGAAACAGACAGAGACAGCTGGCAAGTATGGGAAGTGGTATCTCGCACCTGGTACAAGGAAGCCAACACAATCTCAGAACAATCTAGACTATTCAAGCAACACCCTCAGGGAATTTCTTCTTCCTATCAGGTTCCCTCAGGTGGAACCAAGGGACCATTTCTGTCCCCTGGTGCTGATGTGCTCTGTCAGCAAGGAGAGGCATAACATCTCCCCTTCTCCCTACTCCCTACTCCCACCACAGTCACAGGAGGGAGAGATCCCCTCATTCCCCCACATGCCACCCAGAGACCAGCATGGGTCTATAATCCCCTTATCTGCATAACAAACATTTCAAGATAAATAAATTTAAAATTTGCAAAAATTGTCATCAAAACATACTTGTACTATCTTCTTACTATATTGTAATATTTAGTCAATATTTCACTCAAACAATTCTCTTTAGGAAAATGCTAGATTTCTAAAAATGGAAGAGTTCAAAGCAAAAGGGAATAAACAAAAAAAAAATCAGATTTATCTCAGTCAAATCTAATCTTGCCACATGTGGTTACTGACTAGCCAAAATGCAGTTAGTCTAAGTGAAATGTGCTATGATTATAAATTACATAGTGGAGTTTAAAGACTTAGTAAAAACAGCAATATAAATTATCTCATCAATAACGTTTTAACACTGATTACATACATGCTAAATGACTTCTGGGATAACTCAAGTTCACAGCTTTATTGTAGTTAACGCTCCACCATATTTCACAATTTTACTAAGTACACTACGAACATAAACTATGCTAGTTCCTTCTATTTAGTAGAGGAAATATCTTCTGCCAATCATTTCAAAAAACTGGAGACTCAAGCATGAAGCTTTGAAGAAAACAAGTAGACATTACATTCTTTGTTACATTTGCTAACCAGTTTTTTAAATCAAAAGTTCCTTTAAGTCATACTTCAGTACATGAAAGTTGCAAAATAAAGCTACAATCAAAACAAACAAGGAAGCGTTTAACAGCCTCTTACCTCACTCCTGGTATCAGGAAGTGACTCCTGCGGATGGAGACAGGTGTGTGCTACCTTGATGACATGTTCCAACTTCTTTGGCTGTTCTTCTACTTTAGCTGCTAGAAATAAGGCTGCTGGAGCCACGGACTGCACAGAACCAGCAAAGAAAAGCACAGTCATTATTTATTTCCAGATCAAAGTATATCAAAAGAGGAACTAAGTCTCCAATCAGGTCCTCTGCCTGGCTCAGCATCACCACCTTATACTCACCCTCCGACTATAATCCCAAGTGTAATTCTAACCCACTTGTCAATCAGGCATCCCCTTCCCCAGGATGAGTCTGCTTCCTCTAGGACCTGAGGGGAAGACGCCATGAAAACAGACACTGAATTCCCCCTGGAACTTGTGGAGATGTCATATAATCCCTGGGGAGGCACCACCTGCGTTCATAAAGGAGGAGCGTTCTTCTGCTGCAATCTATAGCTAAAGGGATTGCCAGGCACCCACGGCCTTTTTTCTGCTTTCAGAGGAATTTTTGGCCTACTTCCTTTCCTGACAAGGGTTTCTCTGTGTGGGGCAACCTGTGGTTATGCAGCTGTAAAACTGTGCTCATTTTCTCACCCTTTAAATTCTATCACATTATGCACTTGATTTGTGCCTTCACTTAGAATGCATTTCCCAAAGACAAGGACCTGAACTTAAAAAAAAAATACATCCCTTCTCACTCATGTCAAAACTAGGCATTCTGATATTGGATGCCAGCATCCCAAGTCATGGCTTAATTTGCTGTACTACAAGACCTAATCCAATTTCAGACATTTAAGAAAGTAATTTAGGACCCCATGTGTCTTGTTTGATAATCTTTCATTTTGGCATAGTAGGCAGAGCTGCCACCTGAAGCACTAGCATCCCATATGGACGCTAGTTTGAGTCCCAGCTGCTGTACTTCAACCCAGCTCCCTGCTAACGCACCTGGGAAAACAGCAAAAGATGACTCAAGTGCTTGGACACCCACAGCCATGCTGGAGATCCAGAAGAAGCTCCTGGTTCCTGGCTCTGGGCCGTCCAGCTCGGGCGACACTGTAGTCATTTGGGGAGTGTCCCAGCAAATGGAAAATCTCTCTAACTCATTCAAAAAAATAAATCTTTGGAAAAAAAAAAACTCTTCTGCACTTGATAATGGTAGTACTTATAAGAATATTTGTTATTTGTCATGTGCAGAGGCCAGTGCTGAGGCACCGCACAGTTGCTACCTGCGCTGCCGGCGACCCACACGTGTGATGGTTTACAGTCCCTCATGCGCTTGGAGAACAGCTGCAGGCCGCCCAGCTGCTGGGGAACCAGAAGCGGCTCCTGGCTACTGGCTTCCGCCCAGCCCAGCTCCAACTGCTTCAGCATTTGAGGAATGAACCAACAGAAAGAAGACCTTTCTCTCTGTTCTCTTCCTCCCTCTCTGTAACTCTGCCTTTCAAACAAATGAGCCTTTTTTTTTTTAAATAAAGATATGGGGAAAAGGAAACTTCCACACAGAAACAATGTATAATCTTTCAGGAGGGCAAATTATCACAACAAAAATTTTACATATGAATAGCCTTGACCAAAGCAACCCCACATGTAAAAATTTGGATTAAAACGCTCATAAGTGCAATATACAAGTATAAGACTATTGCCACTACTAACCCAACCCAAATATCCAACAGGGGAGCAGGTTAAATAGATTATAGTTACTAAACAAATACTAAGTGATCATTTAAAATTATGAAAATATAAAATCACAGAAATATGAAGATATCTCTCAAGATCTGTTAAGAGGTAAGAGCAAATTATACCATGGTAGTTTAATAAGACATGCTTTCTTTATGCAAATATACAAATGTCAGTCTACATACAGAAAGCTCAATGGCTACCTCTGCAGCGTGGGTTACAGAGCAGCTGCCATTTTCTCCATTACACCTGGACCATTTCCATCCTGTCTTGATTTTTACCATGGGAATTTATTACCTTTATAATAAATATCAAATAACATGGTCTTTTGACCAGACTATTGTCTTCCAGGAGGAGGCAGAGACACCCAAGAGATGTTTGCTTGTTTGTATGTTTGTTTTAAAGATTTTTTTTTTGAAAGTCAGATTTACAGAGAGAAGGAGAGACAGAGAGATCCTCCATCTACGGTTCATTCCCTAATGGGCCGCAATGGCTGCAGCCAATCCAAAGCCAGGAGCCAGGAGCTTTTTCTGGGTCTCCCACGTGGGTGCAGGGTCCGAAGGCTTTGGGCCGTCCTCGACTGCTTTCCCAGGCCACAAGCAGGGAGCTGCATGGGAAGTGGAGCAGCCAGGACACAAATCGGTGCCCATATGGAATCCCGGCACATGCAAGGCAAGGACTTTAGCCACTAGACTACTGGTAGCACTGGGCCCTATATTTATTTATTTATTTCTCTTTCTTTCTTTCATTGTTTCATTCATTCATTCATTTTTTAAAATGTCTTTATTTCAAAAAGAGAGAACAGAGGACCGAGAGATCTTACACCCACTAGGTCACTTCCTAGATAGCCCTCACAGCCAGGCCTACACCACACTGAAGCCAAGAACCTCAAGCTTCATCCAAGTCTCCCACGTATGTGCAGCGGCCCAAACACCTGGGTCATCCTCTGGTGTCATTCCCAGGCCATGAGGAGGGAGCAGGGGAACGGTAGTAGAGCAGCCAGGACACAAACTGGTGTCTAAACGGGACGTCGGCATTGCAAGCATGGCTTCCCCTGCAGTGTCACAATGCCACCAGCCTTCCAACAGAAGTTTTCCAGGCTGCTCTGTTCCTTTGGCCAAATAAATACGATACAACAAAGACAACATTATAGACATCAAGGGAATAAATTCCTATTCCACTAGCATCCCATACCAAAGTGTGGATTTGGATCTTAGCTGCTCTGCTTCCATTCAGTTCCCTGCCAATGAACCAAGGCAAGCAGCAGACAATGGTCCAAGAACTTGGGCCCCTGTCAACTGTGTGAAGAGCCAGATGGAGTCCCTGGCTCCTGACTTCAACCTGGTCCAGCTCTAAGCCACAGATAAAGCAACAGATGGAAAAATCAATCTCTCTTCTTTCTCTCTCCTTCTCTGCCTTTCAAACAAAATCACAATGTCACAAAGGCAAAACTGGAAGAAGCTACAGTGTCAGCTAGCATATTGCTGTAAACACCCAAGGACCAGACTAAGCACTATAGAAGCTGAGATAACTTCTGACAGAGAAAAAGAAGGAAGACAAAGAGAAAATTCATTGGGTTCCACCAAGGACAGCCTGTTTCAGCCACAAAAACACATTCTGTGATAAGCAAGGGAAAGGAGTCTAGGAATTCATGGCACAGCAAATATTAAAATAATAATAATAATAAAACGGCAGAGGGAATGGGGGAGCCAGTGCAGTGGCCTAGCAGCTCAAGTCCTTGAAATCACTCACCAGGATCCCATATGGGCACCAGTTCTAACCCCAGCAGCCCCGTTTCCCATCCAGCTCCCTGCTTGTGGCCTGGGAAAGCAGTGGAGGACGGCCCAAGGCCCTGGGACTCTGTACCACATGGGAGATCCAGAAGAAGCTCCTGGCTCCTGGCTTTAGATCGGCTCAGCTCCGGTCATTGCAGCCACTTGGGGAATGAATCAACGGACAGATGATCTTCCTCTCTGTCTCTCCTTCTCTCTGTAAATCTGACTTTCCAATAAAAATAAATGAATCTTTATTTATTTATTTTTTTTTTAAAGATTTATTTTTATTATTTTTTTTTTTATTGGAAAGGCGGATATACAGAGAGGAGAGACAGAGAGGAAGATCTTCCGTCCGATGATTCACTCCCCAAGTGAGCGCAACGGGCCGATACTATGCCGATCCGAAGCCAGGAGCCTCTTCTGGGTCTCCCACGCGGGCGCAGGTTCCCAAAGCCCTGGGCCATCCTCGACTGCTTTCCCAGGCCACAGGCAGGGAGCTGGAAGGGAAGCGGGGCTGCCGGGATTAGAACCGGCGCCCATATGGGATCCCGGGCGTGCGAGGTGAGGACCTTTAACCACTTGCGCCACCGCGCCGGGCCCATGAATCTTTTTTTAAAAAGGAAAAAAGAAATCCTCTACTCCAAGCCCCATTCAACCAATCTGTAATTCTTGCCATTCAAGTAAATAAGTATATTTTTGCAAAAACTGAATTTTTTTAAAAAAGGCAATAATTTTCATCTATTAACTCCAATAAAAATAAATGATTTTTTTAAAAAGGGAACCAGACTGGAAACAGAGCAATCAGGACTGTGAAGAAACAGACTTTGCATCCACCAGTTTCACTCCCAAAATATCCACAAGAGGGTCTGTCACGAAGTTGCCTGAGTCATTACTACCGCCTCCCACAGATCACATCAGCAAAGGGGTGAGACAGGCATGGAGCCAGGCACTGGGATATGGCAGGTTCCAGCAGCATGTTAACCCATGTTAACACTCAGCCTCTAAATACTTTTTCCAAAGACCAATCCTTCCAAGAAGATCAACAGCCTCAACTAACCACTGGATTTTCAAAGTAAATCAAGACAGTCAAGACATCCAAAAGACTACTCTATACTGGAAAACCGCCAGATCAGTCATTTAACAAGTTCACTGAAGGTGCTTTGGAAAACACACAGAAAATCCAAGTTCTTGTTCTTGCTGAACTTGACATATATGATGTAAGTAAAGACACAAAATCAGGGGGTAATATTTTGGCACAGTCGTTAAAACGCCAGTTGGACTACCTCCACATCCTGGTCCAAGTCCAGGCTACTCTATTTCTGCTCCAGCTTCTTGCTAAAGGAGAACCTGGGAGGCCCAGAGGATGGCTGAGGCCTTGGGTCACTGCCACCTCCGTAGGAGACCCAAGATCAAGCCATGGGATTCTGCTTCAGCCTGACCCAGCTCCAGCTGTTTCCAACATCCGAGAACTGAAGCAACAAACAGAAAGACCTCTGTCTCTCTCTGCCTTTCAAATACAATGAAAACAAAATTTTAAGATACAATTTGAAAGGTAGAAGCACATATTAACAAGTGACTTCAGACACAGCTGCCCCCAAATCTTTCTTTCTCAGAATGAAAGGCAAGGGGTGTTGAAAGCCCTCACATTGGCAAGGCAGCTATGAACTTGTTCCTGGAGTTTGACTACATGCTACCTGGTACTATCAGACATCTGACTTGAGGTATCAGGGTCAAGAACAGAAGCAGTCGAGCTGACCGCTGAGTAATCAGAAAACACGAGCAATTCCTAGAGCACAAATCCACAGGGTTTCTAGGCAATTTCTCCCAATCTTGGTTCTGCCAATGTGTTCATTTACAGGGGCTGTATCTAACTTCACAAATTCTCTTCCTAGAGCTTAAAAAAAAGGTTCAAACTCCATCATCCCAAAGCAGTTTCTTCAAAAGTATGACGTTCTCTAAAAATATACAAGGAAATCTCTGATGAACAGATCTGTAAGCTGATCCCCATTACCTTGGAATAAAAAGTCTTAGCTGAAACCGCACTATCACTATTCATTCACTTCCAAGGCAATTAATTACTAGTATCGATGCTAAACAGGACCATTTCCACAGCAAAACTGAAAACAGCATTATTTACAATTCTGCCCAGGAGAAAAAAGAAGTCGTTATCACTATTATTTTTTTTCCCCTGTTCTTACAAGGCATTTATTTCCAGAGGCAGTATCACATAATACACCTTCCACAACCTTGCAGCATTGATTGGATTTTCATCCAGGGCTTGTGAAAATCTAAATTACTTACACTCACTTGCGCTGTTGTGACATTATTACTGGCCCCTTTGTAAGCTGAAGTGAAAAATGATTTACACTTAACGCGACTCCTTCACCACAAAAAACATTTCCACACGTTCAGTAGTCACTTCATTATTAAAGAGAATCCACCCACCAGAAAACCAAGACATTTCACAGGAAAACTGGGATGCTGTATTCAGAGCAGTGCGTGACACAGACAGAAACTGATCAACGTTGAATTCTCAAGTTCATAGCTTAGTTCAGTGGCAAAGACGAACCACAAAGAAAAACAGCTATGTGGAAGGAGTCACTAAGGCATCACCAATATAAATACGTTATACTTACATTGCGATGGAACTGAGTAAAGGACTGAATCATGTAGAATCGATGCATGTACACTATGGCAGTGTTGATAGTCAGCTGTGAGCTGAGATGTTTCAGTTAAGGTTCCAGATCAAGCAGGCAAGCAGTAAGATTCCACAAAATATCACCCCATCCCCTCTCCCAAAAACACCAAAAGGCTGAACCAAGAGGCTTCCAGAAAGGAAAACCTGCTTACTTCTCCCACTCAAGCAGCAGCCTGCTCTCCTTCACCAAATTATTAATTGCCAACTTACGGCACATTACCTCCTGCAATAGCTTGCGCAAGTACTTCACTGTGTCATTAAATTTCTCAGCATGTGTGGCTCCATGTGGATTATAAACAAAACTGTGTCATAAGATCTTAAATGCTTTTTCCACACAACTTCCAAAACTCCTGCAAAGCTGATCCCCTGGCTCAGGACAGCTCCTAATCTTCATTTACTAAGTCCGGATGCAGTCACGGCCCTGGCAAGTGTGTTGCCATCACTTCCCTTGGTAACTAACAGTCTCATTTCTCTCTGGCCACGGAGTAACCCTTGGGACCAGCAGTTTCTAAATGATCTGATGCTCACTCATTGAAAAGAAAAACTTCTAAACACATCTCCAGACCGCATGGAACAACTGGGTTACAATAACGACCAGGCCCCTGACACCAACCATCTAAATCAAACACAGGAAGTTTCAAGGATACACAGACACAGAATTTCAAGCAGAACCGTTTAGCTCTGTACAGGGCGAACGCTCAAGAAACAAAGCCGATTTAGAAGGCAAACACATTTCCTGATACAAGGCGTAAGAGTAACACGCTAGAACTTCAGGGAGAGTTTTCACGCGCACAACAGAAGGCGTTTTAGCTCGATATTGTTTTCCGTAACACACAGTGTGTATTTTCTAATACACTCGGGTGGAAAACATCCCGATGCCCTAATCTTTGAATTATTAAGAAAAACGAATCTGAGTAAAGCTTAAGGACCCAGAATTTCGCAGACGGCAGAAAACACTGGATCCATGAACTCTACACCCATCCAACCCCGCGAATGCCCAGCCGCAAAGCAGGCGAGACAGCCCCTCCTGACAGCTCGGACGGCACGCGCAGAGCCAGTCTCGTCGCCCACACCGCACCTGCGGGAGATCCGCTCTCCGCACCCAGCGTGGGAGGCAGCGGTCCACGGGGACGGCGTCAGAGCCAGGAAAGGAAGCGCGAGCGCCGGCCACACCACCCGGCTTCCCGGCAAGGGCTGAGCAGGCGCCTTCGCGGCGCGAGCTCGGGCTGCTGCTCCGGCCTGGCTGCTGCCCTGCCCGCCGGAGCCCCGGCCCCTGCCCGGCCCGCCCTGCCCGCTGGAGCCCCGGCCCCTGCCCGGCCCGCCGGAGCCCCGGCCCCTGCCCTGCCCGACTCCCAGGCCCAAGGCCTAGGCCGCAAGGATACACGTTAAGACGCTGCCCCATCTCCTGGAGCAGATTGGCCGCCTGCTGGCGACAGGAGAGTTCTTTATCCGGGTCCAAGCCGAAGCGGCGGGACGGGCTGTTCTCCAGCTGCTCTCGAGTGAAGTACCACCGCTTGCTGTTGTTCTTCCTCTCTCCCTCCATAGCGCTTCCAGAAGGCAGCGGCGGAGGCTGCGGACACTTCCCAGCGTCACCTACGCGGCGACACACATCCGCCAGGCGGGGGCCCTACGACGTGACGAACTTCCGCCAAGATGCCAGGGCCGGCTTTGTAAGCCGCTTCCGCCGACCCAAGGCGAGCCGGCGCGTCCACTTCCGGAACGGCGCCAGCGGCGCTCCTGCGTCCACTGCGCAACCCGGGCACCACCTGGGAAGGCCTGGCGGCGAGCGAGCACGCAGGCGCCGCGCTCTTGGGGGAGGAGTCAGCCACGGCTCCTCTCGCGAGATCTCTGGAACGTGTCGGCCCTGGGAGGGACCGGGGAAGGACGGGGAGGGCCAGGAGTGACCGGGGAGGATTGAGAGGGACCGGGAAGGACCGGGAAGCGACGGGAGGGCCCGGGAAGGACCGGGAAACGACGGGAAAGCCCGGGAGGGACCGGGAGGACCGTGCGGCTCCCGCCCGCGGGCTCTCGATGGCGGCCAGGTGGAGCGCTTCCGCAGGAGCAGGGCTGAGCTACTGGGGACCCAGCGCAGGCCTGGAAGCGAGCAGCCCTGGCGGCTGTTGGCGCGCGGACCTTGTCGGGCATGGAGTCCGCTCGCTGCGGGAGACCAGGGCCGGCCGAGGACGCAGGGCCGCGCTGCCCCGCTTGCGCGAGTGGGATGCGCACCGCGTGCCTTTCCCCTGCTCGCCCCCAAGCACGGGTGCCCCTCGTCGGGTCGTGGCAAATGCGCACTCAATGTGCTGTGAACATCCTGTAGGTCTTAACGTTGTGCTGAAGTTGCGGGCAGAGGAACAGGGCCTTCGTTTTTCTCCTATCCCGCACCTCGCCAGTGCGGCCCGCGCCCCAGGAGGTAATGCCATGCATCCTTACCAAGCAGGTGTTCATACCTCACTGGAGTACAGTCAGGCAGGCCAGCCGTGTCAGGTAGCTCGCCCTACTCCTTACCCCAAGGGCTTCCAAGTTCAGATTGTGTTAAAGTCTTCTTTACCTCGTTTTAGGATTGGAAAGGCAGAGTGACAGCTGGGTGAGGAGCTGAGCAGTCAGGGTGCCAGCCAGCACCTCACTTTGGGATGTAGCTTGTCCTACGGTGCCAAAACGCCACCACCAAAGGCTGCGTATTAAAATCAAGTCCTACTTCATTGTTTTTCTTCCATGGTTGCAAGTTTGCTGGGTAAAACTTTATAATAGAATGTTTTGTTTTGTTTTTATATTTTGGGCTTTGTCATTTCTGACCAAGTGTTTAATTCTCATTTATTCTCAGAAATACTTCCGTTTCAGGCCCTTGCACTGCCCATAATTAGTAATGCACTGTGGGTTATAAGATAAAGCAGCTGTGATTTCAAGTTTTATCTGACTTTGATTTCAATACAATATGCAGATTTTCAATTATGCAGTCATGTGCATTAGTTTTTTAAACAATCAAAACTATTTCCCCAAGATTCTAATTGCCATCTGACCTATTTCTGGTTGTCCATTTACTTTCTCACATTAATCAGTCTACTGCATTTGCAGTAGGAAAAAGCTGTGGTATCTGTCAGGCTCCAGGCAGCGCAGCTGCCGACCACGGCTTGCCAGCCTGCCGCATGGAACAAGAGGCCTCGGAAATCAAAGAAAAGAAATACTGTTCGGCAGAGTTGGAAACAATCGTGTCAAACATGAGTGTTTGAATGAGGCCAACTCCTCTCCCGCACCACAGTTTTAATTGTGCAATTCAGTAACATCAGCTTGTTGCACTGCAAGCCTCAAGAGCTTCTTCATCCTGCACTACTGAAAGTGTGCACGACGACTGGCTTGCCCCACTTCCGGTCCTTGGCGACCACTGTTCTGCTTTGTTTCTCTGATGCTGACAACTTCAGATGCCCCAGATAAATGCCATTTGAGAATCTGTCTCCTGTGACTGGCTTAGTTCACTTAGCGTAAAGTGTTCAAGATGGCGGCCCTTCTTTGGGTTGAAGAACCTCAGTATCAAAATCCCAACCATTTGCTCATGGCTCGACCTTGAATGAATCAGGGCCCACCTAAGTCTGGTTATCTGGCAGGTGCTCCAAGTGGGTGCTTCCCTTAGTTGCTGGAGGCGGGGCTGTGCAGGCAAGATAGGTAGGGAATGTGTGGTATTCTGCCCTCCCCGCCCCCAGCCTCACCTTGCTGGCTATTGTGAATTGCCCCTTTTCAAACTATTATGGACTGCCTCTATAAAAAACCCTATCAATGTGCTGTTGGGGGGGAAGGGGGGCCACACTCCGGGTAAGGGCTGTTTGTCCTGTTTGGTCAGCCAGCTTGCCTGCTCTCAACGAAGAACCCAGGCTCGACTGTGCTGAGTGAGCTTGAATAAACCATCCTTGCGCACTTGGTTCGACTTCAGACTCCTGGTCATTTCTGCGGATCTCAAAATCTGGGCACAACAGGGTAAGCTGTGTCATGTTGAATCATATCTCCACATCCTGATAGCACACCACCCCCCACCGTGGATATTCAGCATAGTTCCTGTAAAACATAACAGCCTTACCATTGACAAATCACAGGCAGGGAAATTTTCCTTTTTTTTTTTTTTAATGTCTGGGAGTGCACATTGTGGTACAGCGGGTTAAACAGCCACATGAGGTAACCACATCCACATTGCCTGTTCGAATCTTGGCTCCTTTGTGTTCTGGCTCCTTCCTACGAAGGCACCTGGAAAGGCAATGGGCCAGGTGCTTGGGCCACTGTGTCCATCTAGGAAGCCTGGATGGAGCCCCAGGATGCTGGTTTTGGTTGGCCCAGTCCTGGCTGTTGTAACCATTTGGGGTGTGAACCAGCAAATGAAAGATTTTTTTTTGCTCCCTCTTACCCTTTTCCTCTGGTCTTCTCCCTTCTCATGCCTTCGAAGTAAATAAATTTCTAAAGTTATCCATGATGTGTGTGCTGGTAGCATTACCAATTAATTATTGATTTTTTTAATTGGAAAGGCAGATTTACAGAGAAAAGACAAAAAGACCAGAATTGGAGTAGTTGGGACACAAACTGAGACCGCTATGGGATGCTAGTGCTTGCAGGCAGAGGATTAGCTAACAAGCCGTCATGTCGCCCCAAATTCATTTTATTTTGAAACTCAAGATAAATAATGTGTATCACAGAATTTATAAAAAATAAAATTTATGGGTCCGGCACAATAACGTAGTGGTTAAAGTCCTCACCTTGCACGCCTGGAATCCCATATGGGCACCAATTCTAATCCCGGCTGCTCCACTTCCCATCCAGCTCCCTGTTTGTGGCCTGAAGACAACCCAAGGCTTTGGGACCCTGCACTCACGTGGGAGACCTGGAGGAAGTTCCTGGCTCCTGGCTTCAGATTGGCGCAGCTCCAGCCATTGCAACTACTTGGGGAGTGAACCATCAGATGGAGGATCTTCCTCTCTGTCTCTCCTCTGTATATCTGACTTTGCAATAAAAAATTAAAAATAATAATAAATAAATAAAATTTACATGGCCCAGCACAGTAGCCTAATGGCTAAAGTCTTCACCTCACATGCACTCAGATTCCATATGGGTGCCAGTCATTATCCTGGCTGCTCCACTTCCTTTCCTGCTTGTGGCCTGGGAAAGCAGTCGAGGACGGCCCAAAGGCTTGGGACCCTGTACTTAAGTGGGAGACCCTGATGAGATTCCTGGCTCCTGGCTTCGGGTCGGCTCTGCTGTAGCCATTGCAGCAACTTGGAGAATGAACCAGTGGACCACCTCCCAGTGCCCATGATGCCTGGGGTTGAACCAGCACCAACCTTGGGCACCAGGATTCTAGTCTGGGGACCCAGGTACTCAAGCAGTTACTGCTGCCACCCCAGCCAATCTAGAGAACATCAGTATTTTCTTTTTAAGATTTTCATTTTAGTTTTACTTGAAAGGCAGAATTAAGAGAAGAGAGACAGATCTTCCATTCAATGATTCACTTCCCAAATGGTCACAACAGCTGGTGCTAGACCGGTCAAAAACTGGGAGCTTCTGGGGACTCCCATGTGAGTGTAGGGGCCCAAACTTGGGCTATCCTCTGCTGCTTTCCAAGGCCGTTAGTAAGAGCAGCAGGGTCTTAAACCAGCACCGAAATGTGACACCCATATGCAAGCAGCGGATTAACACACTGCACCACAGTGCCGGTTCCTGGGACATCAACATTTACAGTATTACACCCACTGCACCAAAATGAACACACACAAGTTCTGCCACATGCCTGAGTTCATGGTGATTTCATCTGACAACCATGTACAGGTTACAAAAAGTCAAGGAGAAACCAATCTCCCATGTGCTGGCTTACTCCCCAGACGGCCGCGATGGCTGGGGCTGGGCCAGGCTGAAATCAGGAGCCGGGAGTTTCTTTGAGATCTCCAACCTCGGTGGCAAAAGCCCAAGCCTTAGAGCCATCTGCTGCTGCTCCACCAGGGGGCCGGGTCGGTGGCAGAGAAGCCAAGTCACACACAGCCCACGTGAGTTGCAGTTGACTCCGATGGTGTACACCGCCAGCAGTCCCCAGCCTGCTTCCCACCTACCCACCCTGTGCTGCTATTGCGGTTGTGACTATTGGTGGATGGATTCGTCTCCCCTTTGTCTCTGCAGTGAAATACCTGAGAAAAACTACTAGGGGAGAGAAGTTTACATAGCTCACGGAGAACAGAGAGTTGGGCCCAAAAACAAACTTTGTAGTAGTAAGACGTTTAGGAGAAATACTTTGTGAAAGGCACAGCCTGAATAACCTAAGGGCTTCCTACTAGACCTCACCCTCTGGAGACTGTCTTCCCCAAATGCCTGCCGCCCTTGGAGCCAACCCTCAGCTGTGTGGGCCTTTGTGAAACAGCCAAGCTAGTACTCAAACCTCAGCAGTTGGTGTTTTCAAATGCATTATAAGATGAAAATGAGGGCCCGGCGCGGTGGCGCAAGTGGTTAAGGTCCTCGCCTTGCACGCCCGGGATTCCATATGGCCGCCAGTTCTAATCCCGGCAGCCCCGCTTCCCTTCCAGCTCCCTGCTTGTGGCCTGGGAAAGCAGTTGAGGACGGCCCAAAGCTTTGGGACCCTGCACCCGTGTGGGAGACCCGGAAGAGGCTCCTGGCTTCGGATCGGCATAGCATCTGCCGTTGCGG